GAATGTCCTTTAATTAATGCTCGCTCGCGGTGCGACTCGAATGCCGGTGCTGCCGCCCGCGCCACCCTTTTTCACCCGCGCTCGCGCGCGCGTTTCGGCTCTCTTCTTCTCTCTTTCTTTTTTCCCGCGCGTCGCCGAGGTCGTTCGAGGGCGCGTTTTTTTAGACGATCGAGTTCTGCTCCAAACCCGAGAGAAAAAGCAAGAGGAAAAGCTCGCGCGCGAGAGAGAGAAAGAGGGAGACTGTGTTGTTCCACCCTTCTCTCCGAGCTAGAACGGCCATCACCCCGCCTAACGGAATCGTCGTTCGATTCCGAGCGAACGAGCACGCCGGGTTACGCGGATTTTTACGAGCCCGGCCAGCTCCTGCGAACTTTCTTCCACCCTTCCGGAGAGATTGCCGATGCTTCCTTTCGGCTGCAAGGTAACTCACCCCTCCGTGCGATCCAGTGAGTCGCGAAAGTGCCAGAGAATGCGGCGGGTTGCTCTCGATCTCGATGGCGGTCGAGAGACCTACGAAAATGGTAGTCGATGCTCCGCGGCGGAGATACTCGAGGCTTGCGGCGAGGATTTTTATTTCGGCGATTCGAGGAGACGCGCCGGTGCGCCCTTGCGGAGCATCGTTTCATCGTCGTCGTCGTCGTCGTCGTCTCTCTCTCTCTCTCTCTCTCTCTCTCTCTCTCTCTCTCTCTCTTACGATCTGGATTTATGCCACGAGAATATTCATGGTTTTCTACGATATTTCGTGGACCGCGGAACCTAGCTCTGTAATTCTGGCGAAAGAATCGTTACAATTCCCGCAGAGGAAACGGAACCAGCATGGGCCACTGTCGCGTCGCGTCACTTTCTCTCCGTTCTCGAGCATTCTTCTCGTTTGAAGAGCTATTTATGTATAGCGAAACAATTCAGTTGTTTTTTCTCCGTTCGCAACGATTCGTAACCAGAAGAAGACGTTCTTCGTCGACGATGCGAAAAAGCGAGCGGCCCTCTGCAACGTTGAACCGCGTTCAAGCGTAACGAGAGCGGAGAGGGCACTCCTCGCGAGACACAGAGAGACAGGCTTCGCGTAAAACAGTCGCCGTTTAAAACCATAAATAGCGTAACGAGCCTCGGCTCGGATCGCAGAGAGAAGGACGCGATGAATATCATTTCGTAATTCCGTTAATGGAACGCGCAGCGAAATTCGTCCCAGAATCGTCAGAGGCCGGGCCCAGCGCGGCAAGCCCGACTCGCATTTAAATGTCACTCGAGGACCTGGTCTCTCTCTCTCTCTCTCTCTCTCTCTCTCTCTCTCTCGCTTGCTCGCTCGCTCTCCTCTCGACGTTCCTCTTTGCGTTCTCGCCAATTGACCTCGTCTATTAACCGGAGTCAAGGCGGACGTTTCCGGCGGACCACCTCTTCAGGGGACCGCCGGCTGCGACCGCCGGGTCCCTTGCGACCCGTCTTACCAGCTCAAACTTAATCACGACAAATCAGATCCTTTTTGTACATAGTTTCCTCGTTAGCGTTAAAATTGTACGTTTTCCGCTGCTGCTTTTGTTCTGTCGTTCGATAATTTATTTCATTTCATTTGTTTAATTGACGGAAAGAAGTTTATTCGAGATACAAATAAATTGTAAATATCATACAGAACGAGATCCTTAAAAAATGGGGAAATGAAGTAGACAAGAGTATGCGATGCAAAGTGAAGGAACGGAATAAGATACTGCAGGAAAATATGAAAATGAAAGCAAAACGATGATTTCGAATATATTAAAAAATATACGGTTAAGATTTTTAATTACCCTTAGCCTTCGACTGGTGGAGTACGTCAGGATCGTTTGAAGGCATCCGTGGAGATAGAAAAAATGTCGACAGAGCGCACCGCAGAATTCACGGGATGCGAGCAATATATTCGTATTTTGCGAGATTTGTTCTAAAAAAAGGATAGTTCTAAAAGTGAGAAATTTACTAAGTGTTCTAGATATTGCATTAAAGTGAACATATCAAAAATTATGTTAATTATGTTAACACCTGCAAAGGAGTGATTCCTGAGGTCATTTGAAGTAACTTTTTCTTTAGCGAAAACGCAATCCGCGGCTTCGTTTGCGAGTTATTAACGAAAAACACTGACCAATGAGAGGCTAGCTCACTTAGCGCTAGGCCGAGTGGTCGAAGCCCGGTTCCGTTCATTGGCTCGGCCGCCTAGCGCCAGTCGTGCTCGCCTCTCATTGGTCACAGAATTTCCTTAATAACTCGTAAACGAAGCCGCGGATTGCATTTTCGCTAAGGAAAAAGTTACTCCAAATTACTTCAGGAATCAATGTAATTAAAGAATTAGTCACCACAACAGGAATTAACACAATTATGGGGTACTGTATAGCATAATCAATGCGATAGCTAGTCACAGGGTAAGTTTGTCCCGAATCAGGCCTCGTGGTTGACATAAGGCGTAGGAACTTGCTCCGAACTGGTTGTCATTGTGGAATTGGAGGGTCACCTGATAATAATTCTGTACCTTCGGCCGAGTCTGGTAATCGCAATAATCGTGATAAAGACGTTCCGCGCGGTATAATACAGCCGGAGACAATTTGCTGGTTCGGTTAGATAGAAGTTCGCTGTTATAAGCCGAGGGCTGGTGCGAAGCTTCGTAGCACCTGGTTCAAAATAAACGGAGACATTGCGGTCTTGGAGTTAATACCCGGGCGCAGCACGGAAGCGACTGCCGCCCCGTTTCCCGCAATAACTGTGTTCGCCGCGATCTTTTGTCATTAGCGGCTAGAGCGGGCTCGAGCGGGCACGAGCGGGCAGTTCCGTCGCGCCGGCCTCGCCTTGTCCTGTTCTTACCGTCCCTCGTCTCCCCGCTTGTTTGCACTGCCATTCCCGCTCCGTCTCGCTCGCTCCTGCGCCCCCGAGCCTTCGAGATCCCCGTGCCGGTGGCCTTCGAGGGATTTGCCGAGACAGGGAGGGAGGATCGAGGGTTCCGCCTTATCTCGTCAACAAACGTTGTAACGCTTCAAACGATTACGTACGCAAAGATTCCTCCTGAACGGACGGGACAGCGTGAAAAGAACAGAGAATGGAGCCGACTGCTCTAATTACGAAACGCTAACGAATCGAGGGGCGCCCCTTGTTCGCTAAGAGACGGCCAGACCCGTCTCTTCGCCGACAAAGATTGTCCTGTGTGGCCTGTCAGGCCCCTGGCTCCGCGTCGTCGAAATCGCGAGCGAGCAGCTCGCCTAGGCAGAGAGCCTTCGTCCAGCCTGGCTAGAACAGATCGGTTGAATGCGAATCTCGAATATAGGTCCAAATGAGCCGTTTATCTTGAAACGATTGCACCGCGTTCAAGTCATTGAAATTATTAAGAAAAGATGTTGCACTTCGTTCTCAATACCGTGATAAATTATCCGTTGATAAATCCATTTCTTTTACATTTTTCAACATTTTAATAATATGTAAAACACAGCACTGACAATCAGTGTGTACAATACTATGTTGAAACGTGTACAGTAATGTCTCCCTAACTGACGCTCAGATTGTCCAGAAAAATGGACAATTTGGGAAGACGAGATACGATTATTCGAGCTTTACGGTTTGTTTTTATAGTCACCGATTGTCAACAATTATAATATAATAAAACTTTATATAATAAAACTAACTGCAAGGCTCGAATAATCGTATCTCCTCTTCTCAAATTGTTCTTTTTTTGGCATCACAATTTGGGCATCAATTAGAGAGACATTACTGTACTTCGTATACTGCCAAATGTTCTAAATGTCGATAATAACATTTGCGATGAAACGAGAGTCGACGTAAACATTTGAGTCGTTTATTTTGAAAGTGGCATAAGTCACTTTGTTGTTAAGTCGATATATTTAAGGGTTTGCGTTTTAACACGTTTAAAAATATGGATGCTAACTTTCGAGAAGATTCACTTGTATTTGTTATCTCAGGATATTGATATTTTTCTCAGTACAAATAATTTCGTATAAACATTAAAAAAATCACCACTTTTCATTACGGTAAAGTGACTTATGCCACTTTCAAAATAAACGGCTGAAATCACATTTTCGAGCTTCTGAGATTACAAGGTTTAATGTTATACACGTTTATACTGCACTTTTGGATAATCCAGACAGTCGCCGACGACGTAGGCACTTATACCGTTGGAACAATCAGTAGAAATGCTGGAAGCCACAGTGATACATTTTATTGGAACATTGGTTACAATTAGATAAAATAATCAGCACAGTATGCGCGGGGTAGTTTTAACCCTTAGGGGACCAAAACTATTTATTTCCAGTTTACACACTGCCAAGTCCAGACCGTTTTTCAGACGAAGAGAAATGTTTTACTGAGAATTTTTGTATCAAATATAGAGAAGAGATATTCATTTTTTAAATAAAACTTCGTTGATATATTTTCATCGAAACAATCGTGCCTATTCTTCCAATATTTCCTGCAAGATTTTACGGTTTTATTGATTTCTGCCGCGTGTATGGCGGCATTGGATCGTTAAGGGTTAATAACTTTCTAAAAAATGTGATTTTTCTTAAATTTCATTACACATTTGAAAGAATCCCTCTGTGAAATCCTAAAAATACTCGTTACATATTTGTCATCAAAATCGTATTGTCAGTTTCGAAACTGTTAAATATTTTCTAAAATGCTGATTTTTCCAAAATTCGCTGATCTCGCCCCGTTAGACGCGAGTAAAGTTCGATCTGCGACCCGCATATAGTTAAGAACAACCATAAAAGCAACTCCTTCATAAAAATACCTCCTTTATAAAATATACAGGGTGTCCCAGATTTCTCTCGGCCAAACGGTATCAGCATATTCTATCGAATTCATTTCATTTCATCTGTTCTATCGAGTAAAATGAAAAAAAAGATGTCATATAAACAAGTTAAGAAAAGACAGCTTTGTTAAAAAGTTATAAGAAAAGTAGGAAATAACTTCGCTGTCCTTCGAGACGCGACGAACGGTTCGAGCCGGCTGACCGATCTCGTTGCTGATTGCAGGTGAACGGGCAAGACGTTTCGAATTCCAGTCACGAAGATGCGGTGCGTTGCTTTCAGTCGGCTCAGGAGCCGATCATCGTGGAGGTCCTGCGACGGCAGCCGGCCGGCCAAGGGCAACGAGCGGCGTGGAAGGATCAGCCCGCGGAGAAGAACGAGATCGAGGAGAAGACGACCGAGCCGAGCAAACGGGAGCCGGCAACCCCCGTGTCGCCAACTCTGGTGTCGACCGCGGTCCAGACCGACTGGGCCGGCTTCATCGAGGAGGAGGAACTGCTTCCGGAGCCTATCGGCGTCGACGAGCAGACCAACGACAGTTTCGAAGACTTCCTCGCCCACGATATCGACTTCGAGGTCTGTACACACACGTACATACTCCCTTACGTTCGTGCGGCAGCTACTTACTGTGTGGATCGGTTCGGTCTAGTTCTCGCGAAAGTTTACGGGGTCGATCAGAAGTGCCTCGGGCGAATGGCGAATTCTAATCGGTTCGATCCGAGTTTCAAGATTGATGCGTTTCGAACGTTGTTCGAGAAACGCGGAATCCATTTGCTCCCCGTGCAGCCATGTTCTCGCGTCTTACGAGGGTTGAATTCATTTCGCGGTAACACGTCGACTTTAACCCTTTGAAGTCGAATGTCGACTTATTGACCGACATCAAAACTATACAAATATATATTTATTAATATAACTATAATTAATTAATTAATTAACTATATATATTTCAGAAGATATAAACATATACTTTAATTATATACAAAACAAGAGATCAGAATATGTATATTGTTCATTTTTTGTATTATTAATACCTTTGGTACATGATTAGGTTCTCTGAAGGAAATATTTTTAGTATTTTAAAAATGCTCGTGCACAAAGGGTTAAAGCCTGTTTTTGAAGAAATTTGTTCTAGACGCCGATATTTCTTTTTCTTAGATAAGTAAATAATGATAAGTCGAAAATAATAAGTACGAGATAACAATAAGTAAAAGATAATATTAAATACGAAATAATGAAGAAGTACTTTTTCTTTGATAGTAACAAACCTTGAACAGATGCGTCGTGGTGGAGCGTGTTTATTCATTTATTTATTTATGAACAGATTTAACCCTTTGGTATAATGAAAATACAGATGAAAAAAAAAATTATTATTATATAATATTATTATAATATAATATATATATAATAATATATATGATAATATATAATAACATATATAATAATGTATACAATAATATCAGGAAGTGAGAAAGTTAAGGAATCCACCAAATTTGTTTACATTGAAAAATACAGCCGTCGAAATTTCCATAAAGCCGCCTAACATTTCGGTGAAATTTTACGATGATTTCATAGCAATGGAAAGTTAGTGCACGAATATTATTACTGAAAGAAACTTGGAGAGCATGATTAGAATCATAGATATAATATTTATTTATGAAAAAACCTGTTCGTGCATATTACCAAAAAGCAAGTGCGACATTAACATAAAAAACCACACCTTTTATTTTTAAATAAATGATATCAAGATTAACACTAAAACTACCAAGCCAGTAAAAATAACTGATTTCTGTTTTCTTTTTCTTTTACAATTCCTGATATTATTAAGACGTTTTTAAATATACTTCTTTATCGAAGCATATATTATAATAGAAATTGTACGAAGAGAGAGTTTACATAAATTCAATACTATTATTCTTATAAACCCATGCCATAACTTCGCCATTTTTTTTTAACAACGTCGTTCGACCACCACTCGTCGCGACTGTTGAAACGCGTGTAATCGGTTTTACGGAATTCTGGGCGAGGCATTAAACGGAGTCTCTCGGCGAGGACGGCGCAGCAAGTATAAATAGAGCTCGAATAAAATATCAGAACACCTACGAGTATCTAAAACTTTGAAAGGATATCAGTCGGCGAAAAAAGTAATCTACGTCGATCATAGAGAAAGTAGCATAAGACGAGCTAATAACGGAGGCGAACGGTTGTTACGATCGTAACGGGACGCAAAACAATTTAGCCGACGGGATTTGCCATACGGAGAGATCGACGTTGCATGGTTTCAGGTCCGGTGGCGAATTAAACGATGATAAAAAAAACGATGAGCCGACGTGAACGTTGTGTGTTCGCAGGAAGTGACGCTACGGAAGACGGGGAGCGCGGAGAAACTGGGGCTGACGGTCTGCTACAGCTCCGGGTCCGGCAGCGAGGACGCAGACACGGAAGTTTATATCTCGGAAATAGTTCCTGAAAGTCTCGCGGCGCGCGACGGCCGGCTGCGGGAAGGCGACCAAATCCTGAGGGTGAGTTCTCCGGTGAATTATTACCGCGGGCCCAGCCCGGCCAGATATGAGAAACCCGCCGCAGCGGCGGAACAACGCGAAATGAAACTCACCGCCCCGAAACGCCACTAATCTTTCCCCGTTCACCGTTCCGTTCCGCCGCCGCATTCGGCTCCGGCTCCGGCTCAGCCACCGTCACCGGGTCCCCGGTCATCCCCCCGGATTATCATTTAGAGCGTAAGAAATTCGGAAGTAGCAGCCGTCATCGACGTCGACGAGAATCGAACGGCCCGGGCTGATTCGATTACCCGGGCGGGAGAGAGCGAGCCGGCTCGTCGCGTTTCCCGCACACGATTTCCTTCCGACCTGCTACCCTTCTAATCTCGTTAGGCGGATTGTAATTACGGACAAAGTGGTCGACTTAAGGGAAATCGGATGGAAGAACGGGCGACGACCGCCGCGTCGTCCCCGGGATTTCTTCCCTCGATCCCGTCTTTGCACCCGTGAACTTCTTCCGGGTGAGGTCGTCGGGCCCGTCGCACCGCGTCCGGGTCTGCTCTGCAGAGATCTCGCGCGAACCTTGCTCCTCTCCTCTCATCAACGTTCCAGCCGATAACCCAAATACAGAGCTAGGCGAGATTCACGAAATCTCTGGTCTAAAACGGGGACCAGCCGATCATTCGGTCGCTAAACGATCATCCCCCGTTTTCGTTGTTCGAGCTTTGATCCGCCAATGTTCCTGCAGCATCGCGAGATGAGAAGACGATCTGGAGTGGCCTGTTCAAGGCAGTCGGCCCGCGAGCCGTCGGATCGTTCCGCGGATCCATTATCCCGCGAAATTTCGTTGAAACCGAGAAGAGAATCGAGAGGGGAACCGGCCCTCGAATTCCATTCGATCGATTGAAAATACGCTGCACGCCGCGCGACACGACGCGACGCGACGCGACCGCTCTCCGGAGGGTGCAACGATCCTCATTCTCTCTCTCTTTCTCTCTGTCCGTTTCAGGTAAACGGGAAGGACGTGGCGAACAAAGAGCAGACCGAGAACCTATTCGCCGAAACGAAGAATGCGGTGACCATTCTCGTCAGCCGATGTCTCTTCCAGGTGAGCTCTTTCACTCGAGACTCTAGCTAGCATCTAGGTGAGATTATCTAGCCGCAGTCCGGACTAAACACGCTGCTCGAATCGTTTTTCAGGACGACGAGTTCGACGACAGGCGCACCTACCGCCAGGTGAGTCTCTCCACCCCGCTGAAACTTCCGAGAATACATACTTTTCGGGGTGAAAACGTTCGAGCCGTTTCAGATCATTTTTACACGCCGGTTCGTCGCCTCGGACGTGCGTTTATCTTTCGTTTTGAATCACACTGTACGCTCTGGGGTTGGCGAAATTGTCTAGATCGTGTATTAATACTCGCAAACCTCATGATCGGTTGTAGTATATCATTCTACTTATTACAATTTAATTAGCCGTCTGTCTCATTACCCTCCTCTTCTTTCTTCCAATTTTCTATTCTTCCGTGTTTTCTTACGTCTACCCTTATTTTCACTATTGTTATTATTTTTAACTTGTATTTTATTCGTTTGACTCACTTATTGCACCCTTGTTTCGTCTACATTCTTCTAACTTTTTTATAATTACGCTAGTATGATTTGCTTTTACGTCGCCTGTGCTTCAAAGGAGCATCCCTTATATGTAT